GAGTATCCTAATAAAAGTGAATTTCTCTGTGCTTTCTATATTAATATTTCTTCACTTAAGGCAGTTATGCTAGTTTAAGAGTTGTTGGACTAACGTGCTTTATAAATAAAAAATAATTCATTACAATATGTATCGGTAACGATCCTCTAATAAAACTAATGTCCAAATAACTGTTTCTCACTTCCATTTCAATGACCGTCTAGTGTAGGACAGCGCCGCCAGAATTCCATCGGCTTCGAAAGCAAGATTTTTGACTTGCCTAGATAGCCGAGCGGTCTAGCACGCTGTTCCTGTACTGCTAGAAGACAGACTCCGTATGTCGAGAGTTTAACCCCGGGTTGGGTCGGAAGTGAGTATGCTAATAAAAGTGAATTTCTCTGTGCTTTCTATATATATTCTTTGTTCTCATAGTAGTATAATTTATTTTTTCCCCTTAATTTTGAAAGTTTAGGGAGAATATTTCACCTGTACGAGATGTAGTTTTCTTCACAGATAGGAAACCACGTCGGACATTTAAATGATTTACTATTGTTTGGCACGAATTGCCATATACCCTGAATTACGTCCACTTCGTTTTGCACGTGTTGTCCATGTTCTGCAAGATTAGAAATGTGCTTTATGCTACCAGGGGTTAAACTCATTTAAAAGCAGGGGTTTTCACTTTTTCATCATTTTGCAAACGTACACAAGTTCCTGCAATAGCATGCCGCGTCTAAATGAAACTGACCGCAACAATGCCATTGGACGTCTGGAAATCGGTGTATCCCAAACAGAGGTTGCGAATGCTCTTAATGTTTTACAAAGCACCATATCTCGACTGTGGGATAGGTATCGTAGGCAATGAACTACGCGTTATCGCCCAAGGGTGAAGTCAGCAGCCCAGGACCGATACATACTCTTGCGCCATTTGAGAGATAGATTTACAACAGCAACATCTACAGCATCTTTGATACCAGATGGGCGCATATCTCTGATCAAACTGTTCGTTACCGTTTACGGGAGGCAGGCCTCAGAGCAAAACGTCCAGTTAACGCAGTGGTTATGATGCAGCAGCATCGTGAGAAAAGACTACAATGGGCTCAAAGGCACAGAGTATGGCCACAGCAACGATGGAGAAGAGTATGGTTCAGTGACGAATCAAGATTTTTGCTTCAGCGTGCTGATGGGAGGGCAAGGGTGTATAGACGCCGTGGAGGGTGTTTCGCTGCGTAAAGGAAGTTGATAGATTTGGTGGGGGACAAATATGGTACAAATCCAAGGTACACTTACGGCCCAGCGATATTGTGATGAAATTTTTGCAACCTTTTGTGCTGTCTGTAATGCAGAGAAATGGCGCAATTTTTCAGCAAGACAACGTACGACAACACACTGCAAGACCTACCACTACTTTTCTGCAAAACCACAACATTGAATAGCTATATAGTCATCGAAATCTCCTGATCTTAACCCCATTGAGCATATTTGGGATGAACTGGACAGGCGTATGAGACAGCGACAACCACAGCCACAGATCTTGCAACAACTGGCTCGGGTGTTGCAGGAGGAATGGAACAATATTCCTCAACAGTGTATCAGAACTTTAATTTCATCTATGGAAAGGCGATGTCAGTCGGTGATTGATGCTCGTGGAGGACACAATAGATACTTATTTATAGGGATCTTGACCTTTCATAGTGATTAAGACAGTTACTTACTATTTTTACATCATTTCTGCTGAACAAATAAATTAATCCATTAAAAAATCCAAATCCCATGCAAATTTTCTTTTGAAATTTTGTTGCAAATTCTTTATATGCGTTTCTTATTTTGAAGAGTATATATAGTATTTATATATTTTTTTAAAATCCTTTAATACAATAATTGTTTTTCAAATGTCTGTACCACATTGTTTTCATTACCTCCATTTTTCATATCATTGTTACTCTTCTCTTTTTTACATCAAAATCATGAATTTTTCGAAATTTCAAGGTGTTGCAGTTTTATATGTTAAGAATGTGGCAAAAGAGAAAGTCCACATTTTTACATGGTGGATTTTCATTATTTTAGAAAATCATTTGAAAATATACAGATGATTCACATATATAGATAGAAGTACTTTGAGACTGATTGAAGGGTAAATTAATATAACAATTACACCGTTGCTATGGAAATAAAATCATAAAAAAATAATTCAGATTTTAGTCCTAATAAGCAACTCCCATCATAAAATGAAACATGATTCATTAAAAATTATTTTAAAAATTGGTATAATAAAGAGTACATAATGTTGTCTAATTAACATTAATAAACAACTAAGAAAAAGATACGATCATATAGTGCTGCTATAGAAATAAGATGAAAAATCTATGTTTTTAGATTTAATCATAATCATTTCCTTGGATACGTACCTTTTTAGGAAAGTTCATACTTTTTGAATGTTTGTTTGTAAATCAGTAAATAGGCTGTCAGATCCACGTAGGCAAGAAGGATTTACAAGATGCAATCAAATGTTGATATTTTCTTTATTTTAACAACTTAAACTGCTTAGTTACTATGGTACTTAAGTTGTACTCTTTATGACATTCAATTAAAAAGAAAATCTGATAATTTGATTTAATTTATAAACAGTCATAAATGAAAATAATGTGTACTTTCCAATAGCAAAACTGCATAAATCATTGAATATTTTCTCCATAGTAACACCTTCTTTGTTTAATATTCTTGTTTGAACATTCTTCTTACTTCTATGTAACACAACTTATTCTATTTTAATCATGAAATAAATAGATCTAAATTTTCTTTGTATTTGTTAGAATTTGAGGGAAAATTAACTTCTTTCTTAACCAAACTCACGGCGTAAAACCCTGTTTCCGTGGCGACCAAGATACCATAAAGCAAATAAATAATGCGTTTATTTCTATTTATGATCTTAAGTGTATTTTATGATTTTTTGGTCTGTATGCTCTATCTAGTAATAGCATGACACTTAAAAATAATAATAATTTAATTGAATCTTTCTCAATTTCAATTTTTTTCTTCAAATGTAACCATAGTTATAACCTATATTACGTGAATTACCCACAGTTTCCTTTTAACATCTTGGGCAATAACACTTGTCATGTCTACATATGTGATCCTTAACATCCATTGTCCCTGAACAAAACTACACTGAGAATTTAAAAGACTTAAAAATTATCATCTTTTTTAAACCATGGAAACCAAATATTCAATAATAGATTCAACAATCCATCTTATGCAATCTTATACGTTAAAAAGTAAAGTGATTTTTTTTAAACAAATAATGAGCATGTCCTAAAAAAATAGAAGTCTCATGTATCTTGCTATAAAATATACTTCAGAAAGTAAAGATATCCATGGCATGAAAAAAGAAATTCGCTAAAAATCATTATGTGCTATATAATAGTTTCAAAGATAAATCTATATGCGAATTCTATTTCTGTTGGGGTATAGATTTCTAAGAATAATTATTTTTTCTTCACAGAAATGTTAAATCTATTGATTTTAAGCCTAGCATAAAGAAACAATAGCAGAATGAATTTTTCATTTCAATACATTTCATAATTAGTAATCTAAAATTTACTTAATTGATGAAATATTCAACATTGAGATGGAAATAGAGCTTTGATCCTGTGTAAATAAGCTGATATAAAGTAAATTGGTTTATTACAAGTGCATGGAAATATTCATCATACATAGTCAATAAACGACATTTCATTAACGTGTATTTTAAATATTTTTCATCTACATTTCATCTACATTTATCAACATTTCAACACTGAAACATAATTGCCAATACCTGTTAAGAAAAACTGTTTGTGTCTTCCTTTAAAAAATCACACAGATAATAATGTCTTATTTATAATCAGTTTTTAATGAGCTCTGTGGATTTTATGTAAGCATTCCTTTTATTTAATGAGAATAAATGAAAAGATATCATTACATATAGTCTAATAAGTTTTATTAAAATGTAGAGTAAGAAAAACAAACACGATTCACAGGGAATGCTCTTGCTCCATGGCACCTGATCCAACCTCTGATGTTTTCAGAGGCCCGTCTTTGCTCTGCTCTCAACTTTTATAATTTAGCTTGAATTTTGAGTAGGGTCTTTTATCTTCCACATTTTATCTAGGGACTCCATCTTAAATGCAGATATGCAACTGCAATCCTTACCTAGCAGAAGTTAGTGTGCCAGCCCGTCACATTCATTGCTTGACAAAATTCACCTGGGAAATAAAATATTCATAGAATATGAAAATATGTTTCGTATTCAAGGTCAAAGGGAATAAAGCTGGTATTCTTCTTTTTTTTAATAAAATGAGAAAGGCTTTCATTATCGTTGTAAACAAACATTTAGATCTCAGTAATCTTATATTCAGTTTCAGCTACAGAAGGGAAAAAAATTGAAAGTTTATTTTGCTGAATTCCCTTTAGTGTCCTGGTACTGCTATTCTTTATGCAAGACAAAATATTAGGCTTTTTTTAAATGTCACATCATTGGGGAATGTCAAAATATATTTTTTAAAATTTTTGTGTTTTTATTAGAGGGAGTTAATGTTCTCGAGGTCATTGTTATTATCTTTCTGATCAAACAACGGACAGTGTTTCAAATATAAAAATCTTTCAATTGTTTAAAAGTAAATCTGGTTCAAAAATGACATCATAGAAAATTTTGTATTTATAGTAATATTTCTTTTGTTAAAGTGTAATTATATCCCCCAAAATCCATCTGCAAAGGACAAGTAAACACGAAACACCACTTGCTTGATTTCTGGGAGACATATCTTGGCCTGTTATTGGCAAGCTGAGATTATATTTGAAACTTAGCATTGTCCTTATAATTAGATTTTCAGCAAGGAAATTTCTGACAATTTAGCAATTTATGATATAAACAGTAATGCTACATTTTGATGACGTTAATAGCACACAATATTCATAATGTTTACTCGAGCAGGACTTGGGAGTGCAATCTACTTGTGTAGTAATAGGTTGACAAAAAAATCTTCCATAACTTCGCTTTATTTTCTGAGATATCACAAGATCACACACAACAAAATAACAAAACCACAATGGCCTATGACAAATATGTTGTCCAAAACAGTTTTAACAAACAACACGTACATTTCTTTTTTTCAAGACACGTATTCGATAGATTTCATCAAACAAATATAAAGCTCGAAATTATTTCTCGTCGACATATGATATTTTATCAATTACATCGCCTACAACTAATTTTAAAAACCTAAAAAATGATAAAATCCTTAAAATTACATGACAGCTCAACAATATAATCCTACAAAACATTGTCGAATGTGTTGAAGTCTCGTTGGCAAAGTTCAAGTTATAGAAAAATACAACACAGAATAAAACTCTTCAATCTGGAAAACAAAATAACCACTGCTGTTTTATAAGGTAGTACATAAAAGTTTTTTTTACAGAAAGTTTCTGTCCAGCTTTCACACATCTTCTTGAAGAGTTTGGCTCTCTTTATCGACGTATAATCCGTCTCCTTCATTTAAAGAACTTGCACTTCCGTTTTTTGGTTGGTGGTTGACATTTTCAGCGGTAGTAATCATAGTTGCCATCTCAAACTTCTCGGCTTTTTTCTTATCCTCTACCGATGTCTTTTTCTTTTGGCTAGATTTGGGGAAAACGCTGTTTTCATGACATAGGCTTTTGTTTACATCATTTGATGACGCACACTGAAAAGCCTTAACAAAGCTGCGGCGAAAATTTTCACTCAAAAAAGCGTAAAGTAGAGGATTTAACATACTATTGGCGAATTGTAGCACAGTTAGACCATTAAAAAGATAGATTTCCCATTCCTCTATGTCACGTTTTTGGAAGGTTAAATTTATCTGGAACACCCAGTACGGCAACCAACACACTACATATACTGATATCACTGCTAAAACCATACGTGTGACTTTTCTATGCGAGCGTTTTCGTTCCTTTGATTTGATTGCCGGGCCAACGTTTTGTAAACGTAATATGACGGATATATAGAGGACTGATATCAATGAAACTGGAATAAGAAACCCAAGCAAAAACGTGTACCACGTGAATGCTTTGTCTGCTGGGATTGCTTGACCTTCTGGCCACATTATGGTACAGGTCTGATGATTGGTGTACGAGTTGACATATGTGGTCGAATACAGAATAATTGGGAGCATAATGATGAACGAGACAGACCACATAACGAGACATACAAGAAAAGCAATGGTAGTGTTCCGATACCTCGAGGACCTCACTGGATGACAGACGGCAAGGTATCGGTCAGCGCTTAACGCAGTAAGTTGAAATACGCTCGCAAAAAAATTGATGGAAAATAACACAAAGTAAATCTTGCACATGGCTGTTCCAAATATCCAGTGTTTTATGATTGTAGTTACAATAAGAAAGGGTAAACTAGCCAAAAACAATGCATCTGAGACAGCAAGGTTAAGGATGTACAAATTAGTGACTGTCTTCATTTTGGCGAATCGTAATACAACATATATAACAAGCCCGTTTCCTATTAAGCCTACCACGAAAATTAACGAATATGAAGTCACTAATATGACAGTCTTTGCACTAATCGAAAAGATGCCAACCGAGGTTCCATTCCTGGTATCATTGAAGTCACAATCATAGTTCAACTCCTGGGTAGTTCCATTGAGCACACTCTCAGTTGTCATGGATGATGAGGTCTCTAATGTACCAGCCATTTTGCACGGTTAAGATTCACTGTCATCGACTACAAGTTTTCATCCATATCCCCACATTCCATTTCGTACAAGATAGAAATTCAATGCCCTTTCTTGCTAATTTGTTCTGAGGTTAATTGAAAATTTTGGTTAAAGCGACTTGATGACTAGTTGCAAGTTCGTCGTCTGCAAGGAAAAAAAGATACTTTAACAGTTGTCATTGAATCCATATGATCATAACATGTAATTCTTATATTACAGCCTATTCGTAAACACATGCAGCGACGCTACACCACTGATACCCCTATCAGTTTACGTAACAAAGGTGTTTTAATTACTTTTGTCAGAGGGATAGTTATCCTTCGACACGAAGTGTCCGGTTTTCCGCCTTAACTTTTGTCCCTTCGTACATCAGAGTGTGAAGGATTCATTATTAATAAGAATTCAAATAAAGAATCCATCTAAAGGAGTAGATCACTTCTCGAAACATGTTTAAACAAAACTTTTGTATAATCCGATTTCCACAATGCCTTACTCGATTAGTCTTTATCAACAATGGAACAGTGACAAGTTATTTGTATGTCAAAGTGGTATTTTTAGTTATCATACATGTAATGTTTGTGTTGCAGTCACTCATGAATTGCATTTTTTCTCTCATTTTAAAACATGCTTTCCAAGAAAATGTTCAAGGCTTGAAAAATTTCTTTTATATTCACAAGGGCAGTGATCAGTCGGGGAAAAATATTTCAATGATATATGAAGTAAACGAACAGTAATCAAGCTCAAAATATAACAGCATGTGGTTCATTCCAATAAAATGCAATTTAAGAAAATCGTTCTTCAAAATAGTTTGAAATGTTCAAGTATTTATTAAACCCAATAACTAATATACTAGTAAACTTATTTCTTTGTTCAGTCCCTAATAACAAAAATGTTTGTCAAAAAGATTTTGTGAATTTTGGACACCGCCCTTTACTCTATGAGTGAATAATTCTCGATCGGGACGTAAAACAACATACAATCAATCAATCATTCTTGAGCTAACAGGTTATATAGTTGTAAATGATTTGGCTCGTCTTCACGATGAACTTTGGGCACCGGGGCCATAAAACTGAGACGAGCTAACTTTTGATCTTAGTCTCACTTTTACAAAAGTAATATATAGTGGAAAAGTGAGACTGAGATCAAAAGTGAGCTCGTCTCAGTTCTATGGCCCCGGAGCCTGAAATAGTACGAATTTCATGAAAGATGTGATGATCAGATAAGGTTTGATAACATGAATACAATTTGTGACTTATCGATGTTTGAGTGGAGAGCGATGTAATCTCTTATAAATTTATCTATATACAGTGGAATTTAAGGTGTAAAGATAAGAAAGGATAAAATTGATTTTTAGAAAGAAAAGTCGAATTATTTAGTGAACCAAAGGGGTATTTAATGTCAACAGTAGAAATGTGAGATATTGATAGGCTTCAGTTAACGCTCTTATGGTTCTCAATACGTCAAGTCTGAAGATTATCTGCCAACCTTTGAAGCCAGTTCATCAGATAATGATCGATAGTTCAAGTAAATCACATAGATTTATACAAGAAGGAAACTTATATCTATTATTCTGATATTTTGTCTTAGTAGTATTAATTACAACTGCTGGAGAGATGATTCATTTCTGTACCTACCGGTAATATTGTGCTCGCACTGATGCACTGTACATAAATAAACAATACATCATCTATAAAACCTATAAAAACTTAAACAGCCGATGATCTTGATTTATTCACAGATTACTATAATGAACTGTCTTGCGTAAAATGATAAATGTATTTTGATATTCAATTATGAAAAAAGTGGAGGAATGTGTAGAAATTATTGCGCCATGTGATTCCATCAATACAGACGTTAACATTTTATCTTTTGATATTTAAGAAATTATCACAAATGTAAATATGAGAAACAAATCTGGAAAGCATATAATTCTTTGAATTGATTCAGTTTTTTTTTTTTTTTTTTTTTTTTTTTTTTTTAATTGTCTGATTAATAGCTTACGATTGAAAAGATCTAAGAATAGAATACAAAGGATTTTTTTTTTCAAATGGGATAGTTAAATTTGTCAAGTTTTCAAAACTTCCTCTAATTTTACAAAATGCGTAGCCCTTTGTCCGCTTGACCACTCACTTACAACAAGAACAAAACATAAACAGACAGACAGAACCCCCCCCCCCCCCAAAAAAAAAAAAAGAACGATGGAAAAGGAATTTTCTCTCCTCTTCATTATGAAATTAACTTTTTAGATATGCATTTCGTAACTCATTTTTCAGTTATTTTGCATAAAAGGAGAAGCGTGCGTGATGAAAACAGTCTATGGAATATATCAATTTGACTTGTCTGTCAATTATAAATCGTATTTTCCATAACTTTTTTGGGTTTCTTTTGCAGAATTTACATATGATGTTGACCAGCTGTTTCATTCAATAACCAGTCCAATTCTCATTGAATTTAAGTTACGCTTTATCCATCATGAAGAGATCTTTGATTGTTAGGTTTCTATTTAATTTGAATTTATCAGGTTTCAAAAATCCTTTCCTTTTTTGTTGGATTTCTTTTCATCCATTGATTCCAGGAAAAAAATGATTCCAACAAATTAAAGCACATTTTATAGCAAAATCGAGTAACTAAATTTATGACTTCATGTTATAAGGTTAAATTCGTCGACGATAATTTAAACATCTTTGATTACAGAATTTTGAGCAAGGTTTCAAAGTAGAGATACATTGCTATGCCACAAAAAAAAAAAAACCCCGAAGGTCCTTGCTATAGTGTTTATGTCTTTAAACTTATGAAATACTCAAGAGCATGTTCTGAGTACGATCAATTTAAAAACTGATGCAGGCTACGGACTGATAAGTTGACGTTACTGAGATTTCAACATATTAGTTTATGGTCAGCATTTCTAAAATTCTATTGCCGTTAAAATGGCCTTGAAAGAAAATACAACCTATCGTTGGGACGTATTTTGACTGACATATTTCATACAAATTGTTAGGCCTTTGTCTTTATACTAAACTTGACTATGGATTTCATCGTCTACCTGATCAATGCACAGGGCTCAAAGCGAGTGGGAACGATTGATTAAAAATGCTTACTCCTTCTATGCACCTGACCTCACCTCCGAATTTCCAGGGGTCTGTGTTTGATACCCTGTTCAAAGATTAGTATTGTTTATAGGTTTTTAGAACGATCTTTGTTATCTTCAGCTATTTCATTGTAAAAATTAGTAATTCCAATACTTGATCTCGAGTCCAATAATAATCATAATAATTGCATATATAATGTTCATTTCATTGTTTATACTCTAACACGTATAATAATTTGAGTATCTCATTCCTTTTTTTTTTTTTTTTTTTTTTTAATTTTATCCCACAGTTAATTATTTATCACTTAAAATGCTGTCCCTCGCTAATTCTAATCCGCATAATTGCAATTTGAGACGGAATTCGAAACAACAAAAAGTGCAATACTTAATATTCACGTCATTGCAGTGTTTTCCTACACCAGTTTCGTAAAGCGTGATGAATTTTTGAATGCAAAATCTGGAACAAACCTCTGCAGCACAATTGAAGGTTAGAAATACCAGAAAGCCCCCAAGGAGCAATTGAAAGTGAAAGTTTGCGAATTAATTTCCGATTGCTTCTAAAAAGCGAACTTATCTGGGCTTCCGAGTCTGTGAAGTTGCAGAACGAATACGTATTTTCCCTTGATTAACAAGCCCATTTTGTTGCGCTGCCTATCTGTTTGAATTTATCACCACTGTATAATTCTTTTTGCGTTCATCCTTTAAGAGCCCTTTGGGAATTTCTGTTCAGTAGTGGAAAAAATGACAGGAAAGTATCAGTTAATTTAGGTGCCTGAAGCTGTTTATCATAAAGAAAAACATGAAGTCAGACAAAGATCAAAATGAAATATAAACGGCCTTTCATCACTTTGTGAACGTCTTGCCTGACAGGACAACTTTGGCTTTATTTGCTATTTTTACACTTGTTTGAAAGATATGATTGTGCAAATTGGAACGAAGGTTTAATTATAAAGCATAAAAATGCTAATTCTTTTTTGTCAGACATTGGGCGGAAGCTGAACAAACTTTAAGGTAATCAAATTGAGAAGACAGTCCATAAAATAATACTGATAAATATTCTAGGGTAAAAATCGTGATGGTTAAAGTCAAAAGTTAGGAAGCTCAAAAACTAACAGAATAACAATTCCAAATTTCACATGATTACATGTACATTGTTGTGTTAGATGACGTGCATGTATTTTCAGCATCATCCTTTAACTAATCATCAACATCAATGTTTTCCTCCAAGGATTCCATTGTTTGATATTCAGGCTAAATTAAACCAGAGATGTTTTTGCTTCAAATACTGTTATGATGTGAATAAGATTGTAATAAATAATAATAAAAATAATATTTATTTTAAAAAAATCATCTTTTTACCTTTTTGGTTGAAAATAACATAAACTAAAGCAATTTAAGAAAAATTAAAATTGAAATAAAAAATGGTTTCCTTACCGTATTTAGTATTATTTAACCTAGATGATGTAAATGTCCTCTCAAAATTAAGAATCCGTGCCATAAGACCCGTTTAATACTAACAGAACGATTTAGTATTGGATACATAACCAGCCTCGGTGTAAAATCGATTGCTATTTATAGTCAAGTAAGTTGAAACAAAAAGAAAAGGGTTGGAATTGGTAGGCAAGCTATCTCATATTCATTTCATTTAAATGAGAGCATTAATCCAGCAGAGAAAGTATAGTACCGGTGAATAAAATTATTAGACGAGTTAATAGCCATTCAGATACGTAAATTCTATTTGAGCTACAATGTTTCCGCACATAGGAATCATGTGGATTTACAACAGAACACAAAAAAGGGTTTGGTCTCAAGTTTTACACACCTTTGTAAAATGATCACTTCTAAACAGAATTAAAATGAAGGGCTTTAATAAAAATAAAAAAAAAATAAAAAAATATAAAAAACAGAAATCCAAGAGACATTAACCTGTGTTTTACATCTGAACAAAAATGAGATCTCACAAAGAAATTTACTTTTATAAGGATACCCACTTCCGCCCCAACCCGGGGTTGAACCTAGCAGTACAGGAACAGCGCGCTAGACCGCTTGGCCATCT